TATCCCTAGCCTACAACTAGTAAAAGCAGTCTCCAAATTTATTTTGATCTAAACTGCAATTTTATTTTAAAAAGATAACTTCGATTCACTGAACCTTTTTTAATCATTTTCATTTATCTCTTTTTAAATCAATCAAAAGTTGCTCTTTGAATCATTCAATAGTGTTAGATATTTTTAGAAATTAAGAAAATATTTGATAATTTAAAAAACAAAATTATAATAAAAATTTTCTTTTTATAAAATTGTATTGAAACATATTAGCATTAAATAAGTTTGCAAATAATTATCTAATTTTTTAATATTTTTAATTTTTAAATAATTTAAAGTGAATACATCAGCATTAAACAAGTTTGCAAATAATTATTTAAATTTTCAATATTTTAAAAATTTCATAATTTTCACAATTTCAATTTTATGATTTTCATAATTTCAAATTCTGAATTACAGAAATTAATGTATAATCACCACTATCACCACTGATTCAACTTAAGATTAATACTAGTTAATCTGAAATACAACATTATTTAATATTATAGAAATTTATTAATAATTGATCAACAATATAAATTGTCACGTAAATGCACTTATGAAGGGTATTCTAATATATCTGAGCTTAGGACTGAGGCATGATATACATATAAAGAATGTGTGCATTTATAAAGAGTACACTTATAAAAGTATTACTGTATGTTATATGATACCAGATGATTAATAACTTTATAATGACTGTATTAAATCACAGTATAATAGTTAATTATTAATATGGTAATATGTCACAAAAAGAAGATTTAACTTTTGATAATCAATAAATACTGATTTAATTATCCTGATTTAACTTAAATAACTTTTTAATACATTGTATATGCTACTGTTAATGCGTGATTTTGCTAGACTACTATAGTTAAATAAGGTTTTTGAGTGTTGTTTCTTTTTAATATATGTAGTTTATACACATTAGACACATTTTCGCTATTATTTAGAATAATTCCAAGTATAAATGGTGGTATTTTAGAAACTGGTACTTGTAAAATATATACACAAACATATTTAGCTATTGCATTATTAGTTTGAATATTTTTTACAACAGTATTAATTTTATCATAAGAAAATACTAAAGTTTCTTGTAATGATAATATAGATCAAGGATTGCATCTAAACTTGCAGAAAAGCGTAATTTTTCTTTAAGTTTTGTGTTAAACTATTGATATTATAATTGGTCTATCATAATAAATGCTATTTAGAAATTTTCTAAATTTAGCCATATTTTCAAAGCATATTGATGGATCATTAAATGCTAAATCTAATTGAGCATGAATTATTCTTCCTGCAAGATTTTTTTGAAAAATTGCATATGTTTGAGGACTACTGCTTGCTAAAATAGTTAAAAAATTGGAAAATTGCTCAGGATATTTAATGTTTTGAAACCCTTTTCCATCATTAATATGATTTGTTATTTCTACAAAAATTTCACATAAACCAGAAAAAATTTGTTTGTCTTTAAAAGTACTGGCTCTTCTTATTCTTGTTAATTGATTTCAAAATTTGGGAGTATAATCTTCAGGATCATTGAAATATTCTAATAATTCTATGACATTTGCATTTTTGCAATATTGATAAAATAGAGAATTTTATAAAGAATTAAAGAAGTGTATTTTCAATTTTTTTTCTTTAGAAATTGATTTATCAATTATATTCTATTTAATAATAATTTATTATCTATAAATAATGAATATTATAATATGTAATTTATAAAAAAAAAATTTAATTACCAGAAAAATCTTTGATTTCTTTAAGTCAAGACATTGCCGGAAAACTTCATTAATTTCATCAACATATGTTAAACATTCAGTATTTCTAACACAAAAAGTTGTACTATCATTAACCCACTTTGCCTGTGATCGTAAAGTATCTAAAAGTTGATCAGTTCTTTTTTATTTAATTTTTCTAATGAAAGGATGATTTGATTTTATCACTAAATAATTCTCGTATTACAACTTCTGGAGGCGATGTACTACCAAATGTGATTATAAAACCTATACGATATAAATATAATCGATACATAAATTTCTTTTTTTTGATGTTTTTGAATTTTCGGTTGAAAAAAATTGTGTAATTTGAGAGTTTCTATCATCATTTTTACATATATTTTTTTAACATAATGATCAAAAAGGTCTAGATCATATTTTCTATCAAGATAAATACTTTTATCACATATACATATTACAGTTTTTAGATCAATAATTTTTCTAACTTTTGGATATTTTAAAAGTGTTTTTCAGCATGTTTCATTTTATTAAATAAAATAATTTTATAGCATAAAACAAATTGTACATTATCATGCTAAAATTTTTTTTTTCATTTTATTAATATGATAACAATTGAATTTTTTTTATGTATTGTATAAAATAAAATTATTTACCATATATAATAATAATTTATCCCAATTTATAAAATATTACCTTAAAAATCACAAAAATTTAACCATAAAAAATCTTATCTCATTTTACCCCTCACATTTTTTTAAAAAATCCATTTTTTACATACTACTTTTTTAAAAAAAATATCAAAATTTACCTTATTTATACATACCAAAATCAATATAATTGTTCAGGATCCTGATATAGCTTTTTTTATAATTATATTATATAAAAATAAGAGAAAGCTACACTTTCCTAGTATGTATTGGGTATAAGTCAGGGTTGGGAAGTACAGTGTTAGTACAATGATTAGTACAGTTAGTACAGTTAGTACTTTATAATAATTAATATAAAAATTAGTACAAGTACAGTACAAGTACAGTGGTAATTTTATCTAGTACATACAAAATTCCCAACCTTAGGTATGAGCATTTAGTGTAGTCTTTTGCATAATCTATTATATAAAAATAGCAGAAGGCTACTCTGTTATTCAGTATGATATGACATTTAGGATAGCCTTCTGCATATTCTATTATATAGAATATTATGATAGAAGAAGGCTATCCTATCACTAGTCGTAAATAAAAAGAAAACAGATATATATCTGAAAATATAGTCTTTTGTGTAATTATATTATATAAAAATAGCAAAATATTACCTTATCATTAGTTTGCATTCAGATGCAAAAAAGAAGCGATGGTAAATTCCAGAAACTCTTCTTCTTTATATCTTTAGTATTGCAGGAGATTATCTATCCTATTTGTCTGTACTAGAACTAGTGATCTGCTGAGACATTTTTTTGAGGTATTAGGATATAAGAAAGTACTTAGAACTTAAAACGCAGTAAAATTCAGATAATTTTAACCAACATTATAATACATAATTTTGCCAGATTTTTGCTAGATGTCATCTAAAACAGAGCCTTCTGAGAACGCTATCATATGATTTTCCTAATAATATACATAAAGTATGTCATATGATTTTTCTAACAATATATACATAACGTATTACTTGACACAGAGCTTTCTGGGAGTATTATTATATGATTCTCTTAACAATATATGTAGAGTTATATCTTTTGCGATTATTCACATTAGAGTAGTAAATCAATGATAATTTCAGCCATCACTATTTCATAATTTCAGTTAAAATTATAAATGCAATAACTCAGCATCTAAGCTGATGAACTAATAGAACTTCTCTAGATCCCTGCCAGTTTCATAACTGTTTCAAAAGAATTTCAGAATACTACCAGAATGCTATCACGATACCAAATTGGATCTTTAAATCACATGCCTAAAAGATCAGCCAGAATTATATTATAAAGCTGGCAAAAATTAACCACAAATTTACTACACCACCGATATGAATTTTTTTACCATTTTAACAGGCAATCAAGCAGGTGTAAAGGGTAAGCATCTCAATATAGAATCGAGAATCCATTTAGGCGTAGAAGGCCAGTACCCTCAATATAAAACCAAATATCCAAACAGCTACAGAGAGCAATAACGTTAATATAGAATTTGACATATAAATGACTCAAAAACAAGAAGAAAAACGTGGTATTTAGATTATATATGTAGCATTTAGATTATATGTGTATATGATTTAGATTATATTGTAGTAATAATATCATATCAACATAAAAAACACAAATAGCAGGAAAATCTAAAGACATAGCTAAAATAAAAAGAAAGGATACATGATATAAGAAATGATTAGATCACATGTAATATTTATTCAGATCCACATGTGTTATTTAGATCACATGTAATACTATGATCTAAGATAAGTGGGATATCACATGTGATATCCTATTAATAGTTTTGATCAAAATTTGAGATACATAACTTAGTTGATAATATTTAAGATCATAGATATCAGTTTAGTATAATTATTAATCTAAGCAGATTATAGTATTAATTTACTATAAATTTTCAGTTTTTTATAAATGAATTTATTTATATATAATATATATTAAAAATCACAAAATTTTAGAATATAGTAACTACTTGATGATTGTTTGTATGATTGATAAAGCTTTTACAATATTACTATGTAAAATTATTTTGTCTTTTTACTAAGTAATAAGTAAATTTAATGTATATTTTGGTATTTGATTAAAACTATAATATTAAGTAAAATAGTATAATTACTTTTAATATCATACTTTTATTACTCTTATTTATTAGCTTTTATAAATATGTTTATCAATATTATAAAATATATAGAATTACAGTAGAAAAGATCTTTAAAACTGCATTACTAATAAAATATATTACATCAAATTTGTATACATTATTTTATATTAAACAATATCTAGCATGACTTACAGTAAATCTAATTCACCCCATAGCTTAACTGCATGTGATTGATCATCCTCTCATATGTAAGTAACTTAATTTATCCGTATAAACCAGCCAATCAAATTCAATGAAGCAATATTACATCATTATGCTCTAATAAACTTATTTTGAGGAATTTCATTTATAAATGAGTAAAAAATTGGGTTCTTGCAAAAATTCACATTTTCACACATTCACATTTTAACTTATTTAATATAATATTTGTATTTTTATAAGAATGAAGGGAACTCTCAAAATTGTCGTCGGTAAGGTCAAAAAAAATATTTTGTATTTCTAATAAGTATACATACATACATGCACATATATATACATTTATATTTTATTCATTTATTTACTTTTATCGATTAGCTGAAGCGAGAAAATTGAAGGATGAAGATCTTATCGGCAAAAGTACGTATATTGTCAAAAAAAAAAAAAAAAAAGTTTTCATCCGATTCTTTGATAATAAATGAAAACATTTCAACGTCAATACAATAGGTGATCCATATATTAAACTTATTCTCGATAAAAATAACATTCAAACGACTCAAACCAAGAAAAACGACTTGAACCCCGTATATAATGAACAATTCATCTTGTAAGTAATTCATGATTAATTATATCGTTATTTATCTTATTGACCAAAAGTTGATAATATTTTGTAGTAACGTTGACGGACAAAAAAAGCTCGAAATCCAAGTTTGGGACAAGGACACATTCGGAAAAGATGACTTGGTAAGATGCACTTAAAAAACATCTAGAAATCACAAAATTTTATTTACTAAATTTTTGTTTAAAATAGATTGGTGAAGATGAGATTAAGCTTTCTGAAGTTTGCTCTAAAAAATACGTAGATACTTGGGTTAAACTGACAAAGGGTAAACTCGGATTCTTAAGCAAAGGAGAAGTTCACTTGATTATGGAATTTCAGTAATTTATTTCACAATCGCATCGGGATTACATTACGCATCTATTATTATTTAAAGAAACGTTTACAAGAAATAAATTTAAATAATATAATATTGTAATACATTGAAACAGCCATTGTGTGTAAAACGAGCCTTAATATTCCCAAATAAAAAAAAACAGATTTATGTTGTTAATAATCTTTGTCACAATAACAAGCCAATTGATCAATCGTTGCCTTTATCATAAATACTATATCAAAATTAATAAAAGTTGAAAATAGAAAATTATAATAGATAATGTTTTCATCTAATTTGCATCGGGTATTATTAGTTTTGTTTAAGTATGTAAATGATCAGCTGGTGCACAATGAGCCTTGGCGGCCAAATTAAACAATATTAAATAACGCCCACGCTCACGTATTTATTTTTTTTTTTTATATAAAATGGGACACATCTTTGAAACAAGATCAAATTGACAAAATTATTTAATTGTTGTCTTGAAATTTCTTTTCAACTAAAAACTTACAATGACCAAAAAAGGAGTTCTTAAAGTTACAGTTAGTAAGTAATTATTATAATTTTTTTAAAAAAAACTAGAAAATTTTTATAAACTGCCTTTTTTTTCCTTATCCAATAATTAGTTGAAGCCAAAAATTTGAAAGACGAAGACAAAATCGGTAAAAGTACGTATTTTTCAGCAAGGATAAATATAAAATACATGATTCTTTGATATATGAATAAATTTGATAAGTTTAATAATGGAATAGGTGACCCTTATGTTACACTTAATATTGGAGAAAGTACACAAAAGACAACCGTTAAGGGTGGTGACTTGAATCCAACTTATAATGAAGAATTCTTATTGTAAGCATCTGATTATTTCTAAATTTTAAATCGCAAAACAAAACTAAATCAAATGATAAACGTTATAGCGACATTGACGGACAAAAGGCCCTCAAAATTGAAGTTTGGGACAAAGATCATTTGAACAAAGATGATTTGGTGAGATAAACTACAAATAGATTTATTTTGGATATTATATTTGATTTCTGATTTTGATCTCGATTTCATTAGATTGGGAAAAACGATGTTAAACTTGCTCATGCCATCTCTAAAGGGAGCGAAGATGTCTGGGTCACAATGAGAGAACATACTATTGGAAGAAGCAGAGGGGAAGTTCATTTATCCCTAGAATTCACTGCCGCATAATTCTTTTTGTAAATTTTTTCAATAAAAATAATAAAATTGTAACGCTCGAATATCGATATGAATTCACACGTGTATAATATTCAAAAAATGATATGCTTTTCATGTACAAAAATAGAAATCATAATAAACATCTCCTTTTAGCGATGTAATATGTCCAATTCGAATCTGAATAACGCCCACACCTGTAAATGGATTGTTGGTGATGATTAAGTTTATATCACTTTCTCACGCCTATAGATAATCTGTCTTTTTATATCATCATTTATATAAATTGGTTACATCTTTGGAAAAATCAAAAAAAAATCCACCTTTCTCTCGAATAATTTTACCAAGATGACCAAAGGAACTCTTAAAGCTGTCGTTGGTAAGTTTTTAAATGTAAAAAATTGCATAAAATGGCTTCTTACTATATTTTCTTTTCATTTATTTTAGTTGAAGCCAAAAAGTTGAGCGATTTAGACTTAATTGGTAAAAGTATGTATATATATAATATAAATTTGAAAATATCTTTTTTTAATGAGTGACCTCAACAATGTTGATTCTTTAAAATAGGTGACCCCTATGTTAAACTTGTCCTCGATGAAAATAAATCTCAAGCGACTACAATCAAGAAAGACGATTTGAACCCAAAATATAATGAAGAATTTACATTGTAAGAATTTTTTTGATTTGCAAAAAAAATATTAAGTTTTATTGTCCGGAGCTAAATTCATTAAATGAATCTTTTAATAGCAACACTGATGGACAAAAAGAGCTTAAAGTTGAAGTTTGGGATAGAAATACTATCGGAAGTGATGAATTAGTAAGATTATCTATTATATTTATAATCGATTTCATTTACGATTTTTTAATTTCTAATTTTTTTTTTGAATAGATCGGTTCAGAAGTTATTCCACTTAATACTGTTTATACTAAAGGTTATCACGATACTTGGATCAAAATAAAGGCCAAAAAAAGTGACAAGAGAAGCCATGGAGAGGTTCATGTCATCCTTGAATATGCTGTTTAATTTAAAAATCATTTGTATTTTTTCTTAATAAAAATGATGTTCATAAATTTGTGATGCTCTGTGTTACGAGTTTATTATTGTTATCAGCCAGATTTCATAACACCTTATCGAGAAATCATCGATATTTTAAGTTATATTAAACTTTGTATTTCCAAATATCACAAATATTTTCATGTGAATGATTTCATACGCCCATATCAAACCTATTTTGGATTAGTCCGATAGCCCCATTAATTGAGATTTATCACATCAAAATATAAATCATGGATTTTTTTTTTAAAAAAAATTCAAGCGGACCTTTCCTCGTTGCATCCTTGAAACTAAAAAAAAAAATTTTGTTTTGATAAATTTTCTAAGAAAAATAAAAAAAAAAAATGGCTAAAGGTGTACTTAAAGTTACTGTAGGCAAGTCTCGTAACGTTATATAGAAAAGACCCATTTTTCCTTTATATTTTCTAACCGTTGAATTTACGTTTCAATTATTTCATCCTAACAGTTTCAGCCAAAGGTTTGAGAAATGCGGATGAAGTCGGTAGGATATCCAAATAAATTATTAATTGTTTGATTATTATTTTTTTTTATCTTGATGTTATAAAATTGAAATTTCTTCAAATATACAGGAAAGAGTGATCCCTATGTTAAACTTTGGATTGACGGAGCTGATCAGAAAAGAACGACAACTAAAGTCGGCACTTTAGATCCGGTCTGGAATGAAACTTTTACATTGTATGTGTACATCTGTGCGAACATTTTATGAAAATTTTTGATGTAAAATCAATATCTTTAACATTCCTTTGCTAAATGCGTATTATAGCCAAGTTGATAGACAGAGTAAGCTCTACTTCAAGATATGGGACTCTGATCCAGAAAAGGCAGTCGAGGGAAAAATTAATGATGACTGGGTATGTTATGCTAGAATGATATTAAACTTAACCAGGTTTTATCTTTAAAATTATTAATCAATCAATCAATCAATTAATTATTATTATTATTATTATTTTACGAAATTAGTTGGCAGAAGGTAAAATCGATCTTACTGACGTGTTCACAAAACATCATGTCGAGGAAACACATGAATTAAAACATAATTTGGGGTTCACTAAAGATGGTGTAATCACCTTAAGATTAGATTTCAACCCGAGTCAATAACTTTAGTGATTAACAATTTTTTTTTTAATTTAAAAAAAAAAATATATTAATTATTTATATATGTATAGTTTACCATTATTATTATTATTATTTTGATGCTAATTTTGTTCAATTGAAACAAAAATAAATAATTCGATTTTCGTTTGAGAACTCTAAATAAAAAGAATAAACAATTATGTTTCATGTTATAATGTATTGATAAATAAATAAAAAAAAAATTTAAATGTAAATGTGACATTCAAAATCGTTTAATAAACAATTAAAATCCCTTGAAATGAAACCCTGATTAAAAAATCAAAGTTTATTTTGAAAAAATGAAAAAAAAAAATTTCAACCAATTATTTTCTAAATAAATTAATTGAACAAATGAGGTGTGAGTGACTCGAACACCCAACCTTCCGCTCTGGAGGCGGACGCGCTACCATTGCGCCAACACCCCTGTTTGCTTATAAATAGCAAAAAATATTTTTAGATAAAGATTAACAACCTGACGATGAGATTTTTTTTTTAAAAAAAAAATTCCATTAATTGAATGTGATTGGTTATCCAATCAACGACTTGCGTAAAGGTTTATTTATTTTTTTTCCGGTCTGTGCCTTTGTAAACAAACAATGTTGACCAATCGGCAACTTTCCGGAACAATTTTAACATTTTCTTTTAAAATATAGCTTTACAAAATGAACCACCGAAATTAGTTTTATCACCCAAACATTGAAAGGGAATCCCGAGATTTAAGTAGTCAAAATGATATTTATTATGTATATATATACGGTGGGTTGGAAAGGAAAACGTGTATGTAGATAACGTACAAATATAACTTACATTAAATCAAATAAATTAAATAAATATTAAAATCAAAACCCAAATTTATAGAGTTTTAAAAAAAAAAAAAAACTAAATATTAAAAGAATTCTAAATTAATTTCTAATCTAAATTAATTATATATATATATATATATATGATATGATGCGTTTATTGTTTTTTTTTGTTTTATTCTTTATTTTTCCTAGTACATAAACAAACCAGATATTAAACCAATCAAGGTAAAACCAAATGTATATGAAATCTTATCGGCTGAATTGACGACGACCTCGTTGTTTGATTTCTCTTCAGCATTTGCGACAGGAACATTTGGTTCTGGATCTGATGCAGGTCCTTCAACTTGTTTTGGTTCTGCTGGAGGGTTTGCTGGAGCTTCTGGAGCTTGGGCTGGGGCTTTAGCTGCGGCCTTAGCTGGAGCCTTTGCAGCAACTGCTTTTCCATCGTAAGCTGGGATTTTTCCACTTAAACATTTTTCCACAGTTACAAATTTATAACCTTTGGCTTTGATCATATCAATGATCTTTGGGGTCATTTTTACACTATAATCTTTAATGTCGTGTTGCAACGTAATGAAAGAATCAATTTTTGGGTTGGAAGGATTTATAATATCAGCCATGTTGGTGTAAGTTTTTCCTTGTTCATTCACTTTTGCTTCGTATTGCCAGTCATTTGAATCGCAATTCCATTGAATAATTGATAAACCCATCGTGCCAGTCAAAACCTTTGCACAATTTTCGTTACAATTACCGTAAGGTGGTCTAAAAAAAAAAAGAAACAACGGATTAAAGACTTGTTTCGTAAACCTTTATTTTTTAAAAAAAATAAAAAGATTTGAAAATTACCTTGCCATCTTTGGTCTTACACCGATAGTATCTTCAACAGCTTTAATATTGAGCTCATATTCACTTTGAATGGCTTTCGCGGTTAAAGTGTTCATATCGGCGTGTGTGTTCGAATGCAAAGCAATTTGATGTCCTGCGTCGAAAGTGGCCTTGAGTGCGGCTTTTCCTTGTCCTTCATTAATGCTTTTACCCAAAACGAAAAATGTCGCTGGGATTTGTGCAGTCTTTAAGGTTGTTAATAATTCAGGTGTGAAGTCTGATGGACCATCATCGAACGTTAAAGCAACGTCTCCTGGAGTGTCGCATTTAAAAAAGAATCCAGCGCCATTATCTTGTGCTGATACGCAAGCTATCGCTAAAGCGACAGATAAAATGATTGATTTGAATTGCATTTTTTGTTTTTTTTAAAAATAAAAAAAAGGTGTGTGTGAGTGTATGTATATATATACGATAAACGTTATATAATTTTTTTTTTTTACGTATAATCCTTTTAGCTAAGATGGCTAGAAAATTTGAAAGGACAAGGAATAAAGAAGGATGGAATCAATGGTATAATGGACGAGTTTAAATATCTTTTTTTTTCCTCCTAATCAAAAAAAAAGGCAATTATATAATGACTTCAAATGTTTATAGGTAATAACCAAATTAGGCATCTGTGTCAATTAAAGCATTTAAGGGGCTTGTGATTGAATGAATGTAATGATGTACTTGTACTGTATATAATCCCTTTTGATGAAGTGTGTAATCTATATTTATCGGGGTAAAAATAGACCCTAAAAAGAAAGAAATTGACAATTTATATTTTATTTACGGTGTGGGGAAAATATCTGATAAAGGAATGATATTAAAAATAAAATAAATAAAAAAAAGGGGGGGGGGGGGAGGGGGAGGGAGTAAAAATAAATTACCTTCAACTAAAAAAATCTGAACGGGTATCGATGCGAAAACTCCCTCATTATATGCGTGAACGCTGCGTGTGTAAAGAAATACAATCGGAAACGAAGAAAATGAAAAATATCAAAGCACGTAAAAAGTAAAACGTCCAAGATGATAGGCTTCTTCCCCGTGAACGAATCAGGAATAGTTAGTCGCTGCATGTAGCGGTTGTATAAATGAATAAATATTTATATTTTAATTTATCATATTAGAAATTTTTTTTTGTTCCCTTTATTTTTAATCGATGAACGTTTATTGTTATTATAATCTTTATTGAGTTTCAACATCAATTGTTATTTTCACATTTCATTTCAGCAATGATAATTTATCACGATGTAACGTAAACATAACCATAAGAGTAAATTAGAAACTGAACACCCTGTAAATAAATAATTTAATATATTTTTTTTTTCATAAATAAAAAAAAGAAAGTTTTTAATAGTTAGTGTGAGTCAAAAATGTCAAAAGAATCGGAATCCAGGTCCGAATTATTAAATTTCTAATTATACTTTTTTTTTTGTGTGTTTCGAACATCAAAAACAGACATGCATGATTTTTTTTTTTTTTTTATAGTGCAATTTATGCACACATCATAGGGGTTGCTATGAAAAGCTATTTTCATTGTTGAAAAGGTAAGTAAATACAATTCACTTATAATCAACCTGCAATATTAGTTACAACGCAGGGGAAGAGATGGAAGAAAGATGGATAAAACTACCTTTAGGTGGTGCGCAGGATCTAGAAGGTTGTCAACTTTAAATTAAATATAGGATATAGGATCGTTTTCTTTTTTGTAAACAATCGGAGTTTTCCTAAAATTTTCGGAGTAAAAAGAATTCGGAAGGATGATCAACACAATTCATTTCTGAAATGGTATTATTTACAGTTAAACGAATCGAACTCTCTAAAATTACCCAATATTTAAAATATTTCTAAATTAGGCTAATAGGTCGAAATTTTCATCGCAAATCCCTTCCATTTTGTTCCAAATGTTTTATGAAATCTGGATCCTCTATTCTAAATTTGATCAATGAGGCGCAGGATACGACAATTCGGTTATACATAATTCTTTTTTGTTATATAACCTTTTTCTCATTCCCTGAATAGAAACAAATATATATATTTTTATCTTGCTTCTTTGTTTATATGAAATGTATGAAATTTCGCTCGTAACGGTGCGAAAATCTTCCAAAGTTTAAATTTGTTTACAAAATGACGTTAGACGACCTAAAATGTCGAGTAGTATGAATAATATATATGTAAATGGAAAGTCATCACGAAATGCGCGGGGATTAAACTTTTGAATTCCGTATGCATTGACGATTCCTTCGCGTAATTTTCCAAAATGCAAAACTTTTAATCACTTGGTGTGTCAATGCAGTCTAATTTGCGTTGTATACCTCATTGTTATTTACTTTTGTTAATTAATTACTTGAATATGCAAATAAATACGCTCTTAATATTTATTATTCCATGTGGAAGGCAAAATAATGAAATTTAATTTATTAGTAAGCATGATTGTTTACAAATTTAATTTTCCATTTCCCTATATCTTATCTCTTTATAATATTGATAAACACGAGATTAGCATTTATAGTACCCTAATTTAACGCTCATACTGTATTCAATTTGTCAAACAATTGATCCAATCAATCGATTTATAAAAAATGTGAAAATATCGACAAAGTTTTATCAAATTCCTTTAACCCTTTTTGGGATAATGCTTAAAGAATAAAAAAAAGAAATTCATTGCAATTTATTCGTCTTTATTCTTGAATTACTATCTGTTAGCTTGGAATAGAAACAATCGGAAGATTTGATTTTGATATGATTGAAATGATTGAATGACGAGACCATAATGATGATCATTTCGTACCACATTAACATTAATTTTGTACCCGCCTTTGTAATTTTGCCAAGAAAAATTCAAAAATAGAAATCGGAATTCGAAAAAAAACCTTTTCTATTCGAGGTTAATAAAATAATCGAGGTTAATCTTTCGATGCGTCGAGCCATTATTGGAAGTTTTTTTTTCCTTAACGATAAATCCAATATTATTAAGGTTTTTTTTTTTGAAAGATTTACTCAGCACATAGGGTGCTAAAAAAAACCTATTAATAGATAAACTATTTAAATAAGTTTCATGAACAATCTGCTTCATGTGCAAATTTTTTTTTTTGATATGCCCCAATTGCAGAATTGTACCAAAGCCTTGGACCCTTTTCGGGATATGATACGATCGATTATTATCATTTATAGTAAACGCTCTTTTTTGCAACATTCGATAATCTTTTTTTTTATTTTTTTTTAATCATGCAATGAGATCATTGTTGAATGGCTGAAACGAATTTTATTTAATTTTCTTAAAGAATCAAAAAAATTAACTCAAAAAAGTACGTATTTTCGATGAAAAAAAATATATTTGGTTTAATATAACATTCGACTAGCGCCTGATTTTTTTTTTTTCTTCCAGAAAAATGGGGTATCTTTCTATTTTTACATTGAATATTTTATTTTTATCCTCCTTTAAATACCAGGCTTCAACCGGTTAAGAGACTTGAATTGCAACTAGATTCGAATTAACGTTTTTTGCTTTTTTTAGTGAGTGTCTTCACGCAGCACGTTATTATTGACTTACGACGTCATAAGAGAGCGGCGGGTCTTCGCGTAAATATTTCCCCAAGATTCATCGTATTACCTGATGTCATCAGGTGATTGGGCGTATATTGTCACTTTGTGTATGACAAATGATAATAGAAGAGCTTGTCCAATGCATAAAAGGTAAGAATTTGGATCAAGTGGTGTAAATCCATAAAACAATATAACAAGTCAAACGAACAAAAAAAAAAAATATCTTAAAATGAAATTTCAAATATTAAACGCAAATTTTCCAAAAACGGACGAAGGGCGTGTTTATCACATGGAAGTAAAGAGAGGAGAGGGTACGTTTTATCTTTATAATATTTTGTAGAAACATCCTACTTAAAATGTTGAAAAACCTCATCATATATAATATATTTAATATATTTATTTATTTATTATTTCAGTTGCTAATAGGATCATAACGGTTGGGGATTCAAGTCGAGCAAAGATGTTCTCCAAATGGCTTGATAAAGATACCCCGGTATTTTACTTAGAATCTCAGAGAGGTTTTACTACCTTAACTGGAAAATATCATGGTGTCCCCATATCAATTGTTGGAATCGGGATGGTAAGAAATCTAAAAGCCTTCGATCACGTGATTAGTTACCATTTATTAACCCATTTTCTCTCATTCATTATCAATATTTAGGGTATCTCAATGATGGATTTTTTCATCAGGGAAGTGAGATCGATCGTGGATGGACAATTGGCCATCATAAGATTTGGTTCATGCGGATCAATAGGAACACCTAACATTGGAAACATGATTATTCCAAGTGGTGCATTCGCGATTACGAGAAATTATAATTATTTTTCTGATGATGAGGATGAAACTAGAACGAATGATGAGAAGCCATACAATTTCACTAATGTCTTTTACGCGGATCCGGTATTATGCAAACAGATTGAAAAGCAATTGTTGAAGAATTCTTTTGACGAGAAAGAGATTTTTACCGGATTGAATGCAACATGTGACTCGTTTTATTCATCACAAGGGCGTTACGACGAAAATTTTCGTGACTCTAATACCGACATTTTTAAAACGATAACTGCAACTTATCCAAACACCGTATCATTGGAAATGGAGACATTCATGTTATATCATTTAGCAAGTACGAGCACTTTGGCACCATTAAAACATTCAAATAAAGTTTTGGATAAAGGTAATAGCATTAAGGCGGCGGCTACGATGATGGTATTTGTTGATAGATTTAGTAATGAATTCATTAGTCCTGAAAATGTTCAATACTTGCAAGAAATTGCTGGTAAGGCTGTGTTAGATGCATTGATTGAAACAGAGTTAAGTGAGGTTCATCCTGAAAATGAAGGATGCGTCTGGAATAAGAAATTTACATCGTAAACTATATGATTTATTTAACGTTGGGGGAAAACAATGAATTTTTTCATCAAGTGTATAATTTATATAATTTATTTACTTCGTTTTGTATTATTATATGTATAGTTACCAATAAATTAATGTAAAACCTCCTAATAAATAAATATAGTACAAGAATAAAAATACATTATTTCTTGAATAAATATTTTAACATGGTTGTTATAAAAACGACATGAATTAAAAAAAAATAATAATAGATAGCGGTTCGAGATATCACTGAGGGTACACGTATTCACCCTTTTGGAATGGATAATGATGCAATTTAACATTAAACCGCCAAATTAGGAAACAAAAGTAGCACTGCAAGAAAAAAAAAAGGTGTTAAAATCTTTTTTACAATCTTTTTTTTTAGGAAAAAGATTTTTTTAACTTACCATTAATATAAAATCAATTACAAAACTGAAAGCAAAAGTATTAGCCAAGGTTTTAACACCAATTTTACAAAATCCATTTGGTAACCTTGGATTATCATATAAGGCAGGAGGAGCTTTATAATTTGGATTATTTGCGTCAGCCCATTTCACTCCTCCATTATTACATGTCCATATAATCCTATCTTCATAATGATTCAATTCCCATGTCATTACACCTGCTCTGACCGCTCCTAATAATATTATCAAAGGATATACAAAGAGGAGAAATCTAGAAATAACGAATGATCGAGACGAAAACCCAATCATTGCCATTAATGCTAAGGAACCTTGTGCCATTGCGTAACCACCATACATTGACGCTTCTGGAATATTTGTAAAGTAAAAATCTCCATATTTAAATAAAAAAATGCCACCTCCAATTTGATACAACTAATCACACGTACGTTAGAAAAAGTTTAATTAAATTTTTGTCTAATTTTGCGCGTATGAATGAAATTTTCTGAGACTTACCGCCATTATCAAAGCAAGAGCTATGGCTCCGGCTCGTATCGGAAATATTAATAAACAATTATCGCACCACATTATCGTAAATGACTCTTTAAAGAGGTTCGGTTAATTTACTTCAAAACAAAAAATAAAAGTTTATAATTTATATTCACGTTAAAAAAAGAGATTATTTTATTACAACTGGTGGTGGTTAGGCAAAAGAAAAAACGTTCAATAAATGGGACAACCTATTTATGAACCAAAAGGTCATTAATAAAGGGGAATATCATTAAATTTGAGAGTCTAAAAAAAAAAACTCAAAAAAGGATTTTACATTTAAATTTTCTCTCCCCGACTATTTTTATATCCGATTTACAAATTACTTTTCTTGATAAAATCATGAGAAAATCTCTCCCTTTTTACCCCCTATTATTTCCTTCCAAATTTGGAGTGCATATGGATATATGACTTCATGTTTTAAAAATATCCTGTTGTGAAACCTTAAAAACATTCTTTTAATGAAATTCATGAATTTCTTCAAATGTATGCAATGAATGAAATTCAAGTCAAAAAAATTCTCAGAACCCCATTTGATTTATATTATATTTGAAAATAAAATCAATGAAATGAAATGATCGTTTATTCAAAACGAATTTCAAATTCATTGAATTTATATTATTAATATACCATATTTTCAATTATGGATATTGATTTTTCGTTGGGAGGTTTGCTAGAAAAAGGGGTTTTTGAGAATAATTATTATATAGTCTCAGAATCTCTTTTTCCATAAATTTATGCGTTGTTTAACAGCGATCCCCTAAAAAACGGATTCTTAAAACCATTTGATGTGCTTATTTTTTTACAATTACTTTTGAGATTCTTTCTAACGTTCTAGGAAAGAGATTTAATAAGGATTTTATTTATTGAATTTTCCCCTTCATCAAACTCTATCATTAGTTATATATTTGTTGTATATTTGCGAAAATATGACGTACATTATGATCTTTGTGGCGTAGTAAATAAGTAACGGGATCGGCATATGAATCATAAGAGACAATACATATTTTTTTATTCGATCAAATAAAGTTATATTAAAGTACTGAAAAAACAATAATATAATAAAATGTAAAGTTACTTTATCTTTTCATTATAATAAAGGCGATTTAAAAGTAAAATTTTTTTTTTTGAAAGATCGATCGTCATGTGATTTTCGTCAAAATTTCGCTAATAAATTTCGCAAAATTTATCGTACGTGTAAAAAAAATTTTTTATTTTGAAAATTTTATCTTGAAACCACCCTTTTATTACCAAAAAAAAATAAAAAATATATAAAATGTACACCCCTAAATACCATTGCTTTATAAATTTACATGTTGTTTACTTTATAAAGAGTTATTCATTATTAAACACGATCCGAATTATATTTTGCTTTAGCAATTTCAATTAATTCGGTAAATTCTCCACTTCTTTCACACATAGATCTAAAAAATGAATTGGGATCTTGTATTAATGAATAAGGATGGTCGAATTCAACAATTCTTCCATCATCTGAGATAAAAAGAGTTACAATTATTAGTATGTTAGCTTATCAAAATTATCACCTTGAATAAAATAAGTTTGAGACTTAACCTAAAACCAAAATCTTATCATAGTCAACAACAGTTCTTAATCGATGAGCAATACATAATAAAGTAGAATCTTTAAATTCTGTTCTAATGGTTTCTTGAATCATTTTATCGGTTTTAAAATCTACACTAGCCGTCGCTTCATCCATAATGATTACCTTTGATCTACGTACTAAAGCCCTAGCCAATGCAATAAGTTGCCTTTGACCTTGCGAAAAATTACTTCCATTTTCATTTACAAGTGCATCAAGGCTCCAATTAAATTGATTTTTTGGTTCATTTGTATTGACTTCATCTTTATCGCCTTCATCTTTATCTTCAACAATCTCCGGTGTTACCGTTCTAGAAGTCGATTGTGATGATGGTGATTTATCCTCGTCAATTAAATGTGCTCTTCTAATAGCATTCCATAAATCAACATCATTGTGCTCACCGAAAGGATCAAGATTACTCCTACATAGTTAAGCGAATTATAAATATCTATAATAAAATTAATATTTCATACATAAAATATATTCCTACCTTAAGGTACCACTAAATAATACTGGATCTTGAGGAATTATAGTCAATCTACTTCTTAAATCAAAAAGACCAATCGTTAAAATATCAACCCCGTCAATGACAATTTGTCCAGATGTAGGTTCCATAAATCTAAAAAATGATACGGCCAATGTTGATTTGCCAGATCCTAAATATTCATTATGTGGTTAGATAAATTCTAAATTTACTGAAAAAAAAAGAGATTTATTCCATACCTGTCCTTCCAACTATTCCGATTTTCTCTGATGGTTTGATTTGAAATGACACATCTTTCAACACTGGTGGATTATCGCGTGCATATTGCATTATAAGATTATTCACTTTAATTTCCCCTCGAAAAGGCCATTCGGGAGGTGGCCTATAACCTTCAATTATTCTCGAGGGTTCTTCCTCCAATTTCATATATTCATAAACTCTTTCAACTAAAAAAGTGAATAAAAGTGAATAATTAATAACAATTGATAATCACTTTAAAAATAAATAAATAAATAAAATATATTATTATGATGCCTCACCAGAATTCATATTCATCTCTTGCATAGCATACATTCTCAGTACCCAGATTATGTGGCCAGTAAAATTTAATGCATAAGCAAGCGCAAAACCCGCTAGTCCCGGATCCATCCCTTTAGATATTTGAAATACAATAATAATTCCAGTAGCAAAACTTACTAATCCTCCCGCAAGGTCGACACGTGTGTGAAGCCATCGATTACATGCCCAATTATATATGAATGGTCGATTATTTCCATCCACAAGGGAAAACATTTTTTTCATTAATTTATTTTCTGCGCCAAACGCTCTTATGGTTGAGACACCAACAATCGTCTACGAATATTAAAAGTAACATTTATCAAAATACATCAAGTTTTAATGTGTCTTAAAATAAATGTGAAATTTACAAACCTCTCCAAATGATGCATATATAGGGGATCGTGTAACTGATTCAATACCTAAAATCATATATAATTTTAATGTTAGTTTCTGACTAATTAATCAGAATACCTTCAATTGTCAACTTACGTTTAAGGTCTCTTGATGTTGCAATATAATAAGCTCCAATAAATACATACAAGGCGGTAATGAAAAAACCGGCTATCAAGAATTGAGGCATCACCGTAGAAATAGCAAATATGACTGAAGCAGTTGCTACACAAGAATAAATGAGGAACATTGCCATAGGTGACAAAGTTTGATCAATTACTTCCATATCTTTGGAAAATCGATTCAATATGCGTCCTTTTTGTCACAATAAATAGAGATGTTTAATTATATGAATAATAATACGAGAGCTAAAGGAGAATTAATAAATACCAATTGGTGTTGTATCAAAAAATCTTAATTTTGCTTTTAACACCTGATCCAAAATTGCAGAGTGTAATTTCCTTGAAGCAATCAATGAACCCAGAAACATCCAATAAGTTCTTAAAGAACCCAATAACGTTGTTAACAATCCTATAAGAATATATATACCAAGATAATAATCTACATTAACATCATTTTTTCCTTGTTCAAAATTTATAGTTGGTGAGAATGCACTATCAGTTGAATACAGAGAAATATTTGGTGACGAGTAAATAGGTAGAATATTATAGATATTTTGACTTGTAAATGTAAAAGACCAAGAGGTAATTATAGAAGATAATGCAGAAGCAGAATTATAAATTTGATCGTGAACAACACTATAAGCATTAGTCCATTCTCTAATCCACCAATCTGTTAAAAAAAATATTAAATATAAATATTATTTTTTTTTCAAACAAAAAAAAAATAATAAAATAGTACATTTAGCTTTAAACAAAAACAATTACCCTGTCCAACTTGTAATGTTTGTGTAGCGACAAACATAAATATCAAAAATGACCAAAATAAGAATCCACCCGAGGCTTTAAAGTAAAGCTTGTATATTTTCCAATCGACAACACCCTCGGCTTTATTTTCTTCAGTCATTAATTTACCATCACCTTCTCCAAGCGTTTTCTGGGGCTTAAAAGGCTTGAACTCTTCAGCAACATCTGTATCTTGTTGTTCCTCCTTTTCTTCCAAAACAATTTCTTCCAATATTCCTTTAGATAATACTTCACTCGGTGTCCCTTGACCAATAATGTAACCATTTTTCATCACAACTACTTTGGAGGAACCACGAAGGCAAAGTCCTACATGGTGTGTGACTAAAATACGCGTTCGATTTTCCATAAGATCTCCCAATAAACAATTTTCATATAAATGTTTTGCCGTATGCGCATCAACGGCTATTTTCATATAATAAAATTCAGAATATGATATTTTTAAATGAAAATAAAAATATTTGCTTAATATAAATACCTGATAAACAATCATCCATGATGATAATTTTTGCTTGAGAATAAACAGCTCTAGCTAATGCAATGCGCTGTTTCTGCCCACCTGATAGAGTAATTCCTTTCTCCCCTATTTCAGTTTTATCTCCAAATTCAAGTATCTCTAAATCCTTATTTAGCGCACACATATTCAATACTTTATTATAACGATCCTCATCAAAAGGAAGACCAAATAGAATGTTGTCCTTAATTGTAGCATTTTGAAGCCATGCTATAATGTACAAATATTAATTAAATTTCTTTTTAAGGAAAATTTTAAAAAATTATTTATTTACCTGTTTGTGCCACATAAGCTATTCCACTAGGGGCACCTCCAAGATTCTTGGATGAAACTACTCTGGGCAAAAATACTTGACCACTTATGCATTCCAGTTCTCCTAATAAAGCCATCAATAAACTTGTTTTTCCACTTCCAGTAGGTCCACAAATTATCGAAAGCTCACCAACGGGAAATTCGATATTCATATCAAACAAAGTAAATTTATTAACGGAATTCTGGTTGCTATTAACACTAGAGCCGTTGGTTGAAGCAGAAGCAGTACCATCATACCATTGAAATGATGCACCTTTGAATCCGATTTTAGGATCATTACTATTTGGTTCAGTATTCCCACGCTTAAGTTCAGGTTCAATAAGGAATTTTTCAACACGGTCTATGGAAACGCGAGCTAAATGTACAGAATAGAAATATGTCATATTTACAAGAACGTATTAAATGAACTTAAAATTGTATAAGACTACAATACAAATAAATACCTTGAATAATGGCAACAATAGTTGAAGGTCCTTCGTCAAGAGCATGACGAAGGTTGTTAAAGAGGGCAAGAGCTGTGAACGCTACTGTTGCCGTTAACTCATTACCAAACAATTTTGTATAAGTCCAAAAAACAGAAAGCATAATTAAGAGTGGCAGACACATCCAAACATTTCCCATATAAACCCATTGCATCAAACGTGATTTAATTTCTTTAAGTTCATTTTCACGCGCATCAATAATCTTTTTGTAGAATTGATCTTCCCAAGCAAAAAATTTGATTATTCTAATTGCTTGAAGTAACTAATAAGAAAAAATATATATATAATAAAAGATATTTAATTAAAATATGAGAAAACATTAAATAACTCGAAATAAAATTTTTAAAGGTGCAAACCTCATTCATCAGACCCATGCGTTTATCTGTTGCTTTCATCAGACGCTTTTGAATAGCTTCGAAACGTTGATTTATTAAGGCAGGGAGTGGATAAGTAACAATAATAGTCAATACGCCCATAAGGGCGCTGGCTCCAAGTAGTAAATATAATAATAAGATAGATATGATAATCTGCAAAGGAAAACAATATACTAAAATAATATAAAGATTCTAATTAGAAATAAAGATATTACTTTTTATATAATTATTTAGAGCAACTCACTATAAAATAGATAAGCCATAACTTCCGATACTTTAGTCGCATCAACGGCCATTAAATTGGTAATTTTTCCAGTTTTATCCTTCGTTTCTTCATCATCTATCACTCCGGTTGTATCTTTCCTGGATAGCGACTTTGAATACACTTCACCAATGATTATTGCCTAAGAATCATAAATAATAACTATTAAAATTTTTTAAATATAATTTTTGCTTTTGAGATTTAATATCTTACCTGGGTTTTAATTCCTAATTGGCGACCAATAAATAACGCTTGTTGAAAACATAAACTTGGTACTACAGAACCAAGAAATAATCCTATAACATAAAGATAAGCCGTAACTTGTGTCTCGTCTCCATTATTAGGGTAATTTTGTACAAAGAGCAAGATTTTACGTAGAAAATATGGAGGCGCAAATGTGGTAAGAACCGACCAACTAATGGAATAAAAGAATTGAACACAAAGCTCTTTTCTGAAGGTATATAACATAGATCTAAGGAAAGATTGTTTTCTATGGAGACGAAAATCTTTTAAAACATTTGGTGCTCGCTCGAAATTGGGCATCTCATATATATCATTTTCATTTAAGGTTTTTCGAAATCCTTTTTTTAATAAAGGATTTATCCATGAAAACATAAATTGGTCATATAAAGAACATTTTACTTCGGGCGATAAATATCGACCCTTATTAAAAATAATAAAGTATCAGAATTAAATATTAATCCCAAACTTTATTTGTATAAAAACTCAAATCAAATCAAATAGTAAGTTTGGCATTCCCAAAGATCCAATACCTCTGAATTAGGCTTTAATAACAATCCTTCAGGATCATCTTCTGGTTCCATTATAGAAATCATAACCAATATAAAAGAAATGGCTAATGTCCAAATTCCAAAAGTATAATCGGTGGTGATTGTTGTATATTGCAAATAAAATGAATGAATATTGATGATTGACGAAACGAAAGTGATAAAATAAAGAATGTCTAAATGTTTGCGTAAATTTAATTGATTACGATACTGAGATGTGAGATTTATATAGGCTAGCAAAGATGCATACATCTAAAAGCAGTAAATAATTTAAATAAGTATAATTTAAAATTAAAATAAATTTATTTAATTCGAATAAAATTGCTCACCCAAACCAATCCTTCAATAATTGGAGAAGTTATCCAGTAAATCCCTCGTTTGTCTTCATCATATTCACGCCACCGAGAAATCCCAATGAAACAAAATAACGTAAACATTGACACTCCAAATAATAATCGGTTCCAGTCGAAAATTTTATTTTTTGGATATTCATTTGTTAAAAGTGTTGATTCCGAATCGGCATCATTTACAATATTTGTCTCTTCTGAATCAATCGATCCAATAGAACCATAAGATGAGTTTGTTTGCCCAGAAATCAAAGGTTCGTAAAGCGAACTTTTTTGACGTTTATATTTAACATAAGCTAGTATAAGGATACATTTTGAACCAATAATGTACATTAACGGTATTCCCGCATCAATAACACTATAATTAAAAAACGTGTTAATAATAATTGTAATATCTTTATTAAAAGAAAAAGAAAAAAACCCACGCTTCTCGGAAACAGTTTGTAAAATCGTAATTTTTCCAAGGTCCCTGTATAATAGCACGTTGTACAAATTATATAACTTTATCGAGTTATTTGCGAAAAATTTAATTCCAACAATCTTTCTTAAGGCTTGGAAAAAAATTATGAATTTACCCAAGAGTCCAATCCACAAAATCCTTGATAATCATCGGATCGATTTAAATTTGTAACCATAGTGACTGTGTCAATAAATTTGGTTTCAAAAGCGTGGTTATTTATATGTAAAAAATTTTGTATAACTGTATTTGGCTAATCAATGAAGCGATTATGCAGTTGATTGTGTAAATGGGAAAATTGATTGATCAGAGATAACGATTGACTGGATTTGATAGAGTAACATTTGAAAGAAACGAACTTTTAACTTTTTTTAGAGATCATATGGCGTTATTTATATGTTTTTTTGATGGCGCAGCTGTAAATGGTAGCACAATCTTTTGTACGAACTGAATAAGTTTACAAAAAAAATTTATCTAAAAATAGAAATTTGTCATAAAAAATTGTCTATAAAATGGTTAAAAAGATCGTGTTATTTTTGAAACTTGATTTTTTCAATTCAGGCTTTCAAACCGCGTTGATATCTGTTGATATATATATACTTATGAAATATTTATTTTTTGATTTTTATCTAAACTTTTTTTCCACATCATCTCATTATCCGTAGATCTTTACCATTTTCTTGATTCAATCAGTTATAAAAATCAAAATAAAATGTTTTGTAATTTAGAACAATTTAAGCATATTTTCGAAACTTTATTATTTCAGACTGATGAAGATAGTGGTGTAGTTTTATTTGATTGTTCCGTAAGATTATACTGTTATGCTGATATCGATTCAATGTGTGCTGCCGAAATATTGAAAGTAAGAAATTTTTTCTTTCTTAAAGACGAGTTTGTATGTGTACATTGATTTGATCTAATCTTTATTTGTCCTACTTTTTAAAGAAATTATTTTTCCGAGAACACGTTATTTGGACCTTAAAACCAATAAGAACTTACGATGACTTTGATAGAAGAGATTTTAAACCAAGTCCTGATACGAAATCGGTAATTCTTTGTCTGATATTTCGGTTTCGAATTTGTACGATTAGTTTAGTTATTCATGCCTTTCGTGACTTTTTGATATTGAAGAAATTATCTAAATAATTATATTATCAAATTATGGATTGACTTAAATAAATGAATAAATAATTAGTTACGAGCTATAATTTTATTGAATTTTGGATCAAACTTGGAGCTTGCCAGAGAGTTTGATCTAACAGACAATCCGCACGTAAATATTTATGTGATCGATAGTCTCCACCCAGTAAATTTGACAAATCTTTATGATAGAAATTCTAATGTGAGTTTAAGCGGGAAATCATACTAATATTTTTGTAATCGAGTCTAACATTAATATTTGTAATATGTTTATATAGATATTTATTGTATATGACGAAGAGTCAACGGAATATCCGGAATATATAACAAAGGTAATATAGCTTACTTAATGTCCTTGCTCACAAAAAATTTAATATATTCTTGCCATGTTAACTCATTAGTTTATAGGCTTTAAAGAAGGAAAGTGAAGAAGAGTTTCAATATAATTCTGTTTTTACAGACGATTTTGGACGTCCCATAACATTGGATGAGGTATAGTGTAATGATTAAATTTTTCATACGAAATTTCTTTATTTTGATTCATATTGTTATTTATGTAGGCAGACAATATCGAAACAGAACCTAAAAGGCGTTATGGCACATCAATTGCGTTAATGGCATATTTTCTTGCTTCAAAACTTATGCTCAAGGATAATGACATGTTATGGTGATTTTTTTTTATGCTACGTTACATTTATATATTTACTACATATTTTATTAATATATTTATTTATAACAATTTGCTTTTTTCTTAAAACAAGGCTGGCGATAATCGGTCACACAAGCTTATATATAACCAAGAGACTCCCTTTATTAGATTATAAAAATCATGTAGATGCTGTAGATGCGGAAGTAAAAGAACTCAATGATTTATATATATCAAATCGTCTACATAGACATAAAGCTGTGGCAAGCGAGGCAGATGATAAACGGATTATCCCTATTTATGAATATCCTTTATTTATTTTTGTTAATTATTATTATTAATTTTTTTTTAAAAAAAAAATATTCTTGACCACTCAATTAATTTTATTTACATATAATTGCGTGTTAATGGGACATTGGACAGTATATGAAAGTATACTTAATTCAGAGTATACTATTACAAAAATGAAACTTAAAGAGAATCGGGGAGAAAATTTAGATAAGCTGTTAAGAAACATGGGGTAAGAAATTATGAGACCTTTCCAAAAAATATTTTACCTTTTTTTATTTAATTTAATTTATTTATATAGAATTTCGCAGAAAATGTCAAGGGAATATTTTCCTGCCATGGATGTTGAAGTTGCGAATCGCTTAGCTGAAATGATAAATTCCGAAGGGCCAAAATATAAATTTGACATACCTTTATATGACGGGTGGGCGAAATTCTATGGTTATAAACTTCCAACGTTCTCTGCAAGCGATGCTGTCTATGGGTTAATAACCTTACTGAAAACTAAACCATCTGCGTCAGTTGAATTTGGAGTTGAAATTCAGTGGGTAAATGATTTTAATGGCAAATTCGAGTGGCTAAATAATTTTCACACTGCTCTTGACGCCTTAGACAGGTAAACTTGTTTCATGAACATTTGGATATTCTCTGTCAATAAAAATTAATAAAAAATATTTTCTCGTTTTAGTAAAAGCGGATGGATACTGTTAAAGGCATCGATTGATCTAAGGAAAAAACTTCAACCGCTTATTATTAACGGCGGAGCAAGAGATTATTGTTTATTTTTTTAATTTTGGATTATCAATGTGGAATAATAGAAACTTTTTTAAGAAGATTTGTGACAAACAAAAAACTGATTCATATACTTATTGTAGATTTAGTTTATTATGTCAATTATATTCATCAAGAATTGTACATTGTAAATTTCTCCATATCAAAACCGATTTCATTAAATTTGATATCGTGTATCATAAAAATTTTCAAATTTCACAATTTATGTCGTAATACGTATATATCAATGCCAAATTAATTTATAATTTATCAGATGATTTCTCCTTATCTAAGCTTACATAAATAATAAAAATATAACCTATAATTTAACTTTTTTTGATAAAATGGTAGTAGCTTAATAATATTTAGTAATAGCTTTAATAATAATACTAATAATTTGAATGATAGTATAATAGTAGCTTTAATAATAATTAATTGTAATATATTATGATATATATGTTGCAATTAATTCGATTATTATAATAATTGTGGTACTTTAATACATAATAAAAAAATATAATTATTTTAATATTAATTTAAAATCAAATAACCAAATCTTTATTAATAATCTCTCAATTATTTACTTATATAAAAACTTTTTGTATAATAAAATTTTTTTTATATTAGCTTTTTTTTTTTTTTGTATTTCTTACTTTATTATTAATTATAAAATTTTAATTAGATTAAGATCTAACAAAAATAATAATAATTAAAATTAATATATTTGATTCTCTTTCTCTTATACAATTACATCATATAAATTCTTTATTATAAGTATACCTTTTAAAAAACCAGTTTCTATTAATACTATATAAAAAACCCCTTCTATAATTACAATTTGAACTAATACTTATAATACTATAAAAAATCCTTCTTTATAATCACATTTTATTATAATCATACAGGATCCTGCCTACTATTAATAGAGATCACCATAAAAAATTTTAATTTTATATATAAATTTATCTTATTCAAAATTTTTCTTTACTAATTAATTTTACCAACCTTCTAGTTACCTTTTTAAATTATATATAATATTACTTTACCAATTTATCAATCAAAAATATTAATAATTTAATAATATCAAAATAAAATTAAAATTAAAATTAATTTTATAGTAAAAAATGAATATATTTATTAATTTTTAAAAATTAAAAAGCATTACAAATTATTAAATTGATAATATAATAAATGTGAATTACATAAATTATATTAATGCTTTATTTTTAAAATTTTAATTATATCTTGTTATTGAAAAAAAGAAAAATTTTACTATCATAATTATTAAGTGTAAACATTTTATAATTAGTAGTGCTAAAAGATGATGGTTTACCAAAATAATAAATAATATTTTTAAAGGATAAATAGATAAATAGATTATCACCTATAGGTAATTAATATGTAAAGTAATTTTCAAATAAATGATAATAAAGAATAATAGAAATCCAACTTTATATAATACTAAAGCTCCTGATAATAAATGACATAATTTTTTTGTGAGCCAAGATGGTAACTAATTTTTCAGTTGTATAGAATCATCCACCATTCATATTATTTACAAGCTTAGCATTGTATGAGCATAGCATATTCTTTTTTACTGCGTCATTTTTCACAGCTGAAGATAAGGTTGCTAGACAAAATCAAGAGTTTAGACAGACGTCTAAATAGTAAAAGTAAAACTTGGTTAAATTATATTAAAACCTTATTAAAAAATCTGCGAAATTTGGAAAAAGGTAAAACTATATCAAAGCTTATAAAAAGGGCGAAACTATATCAAACACTTAGTAAAAATTTAGTGAAACTAAAGGTTATACCGTTTTGCCAAATCCAAAATGAGTTTAGACAAGCAACCTTAGCTGAAGATAAGTCCCTCAAATAGTTGTAAATCTTTAGGAAAAAATTGAAATTAATCATTAAGAAGAATTTACATGATGCATCTGCTCCAGTCTTAAGAATTATTTTGAGATATTTTTTTTGCATCTTGGGATTATTCTTTAGATATTCTCGACTAGCAATCTACTTATAATTTTCAATTGGAAGAAATTGGCTCATGACCCAGTTATAAAGATTATTCATATTGACATAAGAGATCCATATTATAGGTTAGGATGTATCAAATGCATCTCCCATATTAGAATTATTTGCTTTGAAATGTCTATATATTACTATAGCAATACTACCATGCTTTGCCTTTTTAATGAAATCATGCATCGCTATTTCTGTAAATAGCTCAATCTTGATCTTGGTCATCTTAAGCATAGTATCCTAGAATAGAGAAGGTGCGAATACATAATAGCTGGGATCAAGGCCATAATGATACATTAATATCTTTCTAAATATTGTCCAGACATCTGCTAAACTAAGTAAGTTTATTTTGAGATAGAGATCATTATATTCTTTCAAGTTCTTACATCCAAATTTCTTCTATACATTTTAGGCATAATTATAATCCTCTTGTGAATTCTTCCCTCCAAGAACACTATAAAACTCATGAATCAAGGATAAGTTTGTTTTCTTAAATCAATCATGAGAGTCTATATATTCATGAGGAAAGATTTCTTTATGATATGCTATGGAAATCTGTTCAGAAGAATAGCCTTACTTCTTAAAATACTCAGTCATAATTGGGTGGTTATCACACAAATTCTTTGTAAGAAAGGTCAAGCTAGAATTCATAAATTACATACTATTAATATACTTAAGTTGATCTACCTTTATAGATTTGTATTGCTCAAATACTTTAGCAATAACAGTAATTTAAAGAGAATTATCTGAGCGTCCAACAGATTTACAGACTAAGTGAGAGTTATATTTCCAGAAGTTATGAAAGATAATTGGAATTGGTGTCTTTCATGGTTCAATCTAAAGTTTAAGATTGCAATTATTATAAGATGCCTCTTGGAATTTATCTGTAATATGATAGTGATCCCAAACCTTTTTATCTCTAGCTTCTTTCCTAGCAAGTTCAACTTATGCTTTAAAGATTACCAATTTTAATGATTTATGGTCTTCAAGATTCTTAATAACCTTTAGCAATTCTATATAAAAACTTTTGAGATTCTTTTCTAATTTGATATTCTTTTTCATTTCAAAGATTCTCCTTGATATATCTTTAGATAAAGTTATCTTATTATGCAATTTAAGATTTTGAACAATTTCTGTAAGCTTGTCAGTAAGGTTTACAATCTTTCTTCTAACCTATTAATCATATTTGTATCTATACTAAACTTGTCTTCACAGATCTAGCACCTATCTGCTTTTTTAAACCTTCTTTAATAATCATCTGTAATAATACGCTCATGCATAACAGCTAAGACTTTATTTATTTCTACCAATTCTTGATCAATCCTTCAGATGAATTCTTCTATGTCATTTTCTTCGCAATATAAGAAGAGACCTCATATTTCTCCAGTATCAATCCAGTGGACTTTGTAGCTAAACTTATTAGCTTTTTTCTCTGCTATCTTTCGCATATTTCTGCTATAATGTGTGTCACACTTCTTCTTTAATGACTTGTAATCTGCAAAAATAACACATAGGATAGGATATTGATCTGACACTCATACACTAGTCGAACGATGACAAATAGGGGACCAATCAGGTCAAATCTGGATTGCCAGATTTGATCTGATTGGTTCCCTATTTTTTTGTTTTTTTAGAATCAGGTGATCCCGATTGATGACGATTAATGGCACAAATAGGATACAATAATGTTCCAATTAGGGTATTATAAAGATATTAATAGGGTTATTCTTGTTGATATCAATTTATTATCATTCAGTTTCCAATCAGGTTATCCCTAAGTCATCAATAGGGATATTCTTATTGGGTTTTTTTTATTATTATACAAATAGCGTATCCTGATTGGTAACATTTTATCAAATTTATTTAATACTCGTAATAATA